GGAAATATTATTAAAAAGTTTCAATTGCGCTGAAATGGATAGACTTACTTGGGAACTCAAGGACAAAAAGTGAAACCAAGTACTATAAAATCTTGGAACAATTTTATGATTGGATAGACAATAAGAGGGTAGCCAAGATAAATGTAATCACGATCTTATTTTATATCTAATATCTGTTTACATATAAATTTTCTATTTATCTATATATCTTTATTCCCTTTTTCACAATTATCATATAATATTTATCACTCGTTTCAAGTTCTTGATATACAGATATACTCATGATTATGATATGTAAAATGTTGGAAGATGTATGGAACCAGTGACGTCATATCTATGTCCAATGTGTTTTTAATTTTGTATTATTAATAAAAATTAAAAAAAAACAAAGTACAGGAAGACTCTTCTTGAAAGACTCCAGAGATAAGGAATCCTTCAGCCTTATGAAGTCATAAGTAGACTTCAGAGAACTGAAAAACAATATCTAACCTAAATGATCCTTGTAGACCACCAAATTATGACTTCAAACGGTCCCTAAATAGTTGCAAGTTTGAGGACTGGCCTTTACAACTTCCTGACAATAAGATTCCTACAATTTATGAGCCATGATGGAGAATTTTCATGGACATAAAGCTAATTTTTGTATCGCCAAGAAATTCTACGTAATTCATGGTAGGTTTGTCCCTGGAAGAGCTGAATTGAATCTAGATGGGAAGATAAGAAGAATCGGATAGGGCAATTCTCCGATCCTGCATGTTTCTCAGTGGTGTAAGATGTTTAATGAAGAGCATAAATTACAAACAATTAACCTATTGGCTTCCAATAATGGTGTTCATTGCCTTAAGGATGAAATGTGCTGCAAAAGAGACAAGCGGATATATGCACAGAATCATTAGTTTGTCCTCTATGCCAGAAAACAATTTATGTTGCTTATTGGATGGGGAAATTTATATAAGCACCGTTAATAATGAAATCCCTGCATGTTTTAGGGTGAAGCTCTTAACAGATGATCTGGCGTGGATTTAATAATTCCGCTGATGTTAATCGTTCATCCAGCGAGGAATAATAACCTCCAGGACCGTCTTGTTTAAGATTTGTGTGTATGAAAGCTATTGGATAATATCGAACACCTAAATAAGATTTGAAAATGTTTATATTTTTCTTATAGCCTTTTATATGCACAGTAAGACTTTATTTTATGGAGCAATTCATAAATGTGAGCTCAAATGTTACTTTTGTACCAATAGAATATTTGTAGCCCAGGGTTGAACTGTGACATCTTGGGTGCTCTCTGAGCTTGGTTGATTTCTTGCAAATTATTTCAGTACCCAACTAGGTAACATCATCAGTGCTAGAAAAGAGTAGAGGAGGAGGAGGAGGAGGAGGAGGAGGAGGAGGAGGAGGAGAACTGTGGGGTCTTTGGTGTTCTCTGAGCTTGGTTGATTTCTTGCAGACGTTTCATTACCCAACTAGGTAACATCATCAGTGCTAGAAAGGAGTTGGGTTTCCTCTCTGTTTATCTTTGCATTCCAGTGCTGAGCTATACAAATAGTAATCAGGCATCTCTTAGACTCTCTAGTCTTTCTTCAAATTGTGTGTTATAATGTGAGGCACGTTTAGCTGCTGTGTATTTTATTGGAGTAGGAAAATACTTAACAAGTTGGTTTACCTTAAGGGTTCGGTTTACTCTACGGGAAACGGAATAACGTGAGTTTCTTCTTTTTTTTCCTTTAAAAAAACAAACAAAACAGCCCTAAAGTTGCTGTGTATGCTTCCCCCGCTCTTGGTGGAAGAACCAATTTTGCACTGTTTATTTATTGCTTTTATAATTTTATATGATTGGCGCTTCTTCAGGGCTCAGCAGAAGCACCAGGATCAGTGCTGCTTTCCAGCTGATTGGTGCTTCTTCAGGGCTCAGCAGAAGCACCAGGATCAGCGCGGAGCTCCAGCTGGAGCCTGGCGCTGATCCTGGCGCTTCCGCTGAGCCCTGACAGCCCCGAAGAAGCGCCGGTCAGCTGGAAAGCGGCACTGATCCTGGGGCTTCCGCTGAGCCCTGTCAGCCCTGCAGCTCCAGCCATCTCTCGCTCAGGCTTGTGCGGTGCTGCCACCGGTTCAGCTCATTCCCCTCCCCAGCTACCCCTTTTCTAGGATGGTCGCGTACCACCTGCCAGGTGCCCATGTACCACAGGTGGTACCCGTACCACTGGTTGAAAAGCCCTGTGTTAGAGTGTCAACAACTTATCTGGCGTTACGAGTAGTGACTGTGCCTCCTTTTGCACTGGAGAGGATCTGTTTCTCCTAAGTTGGAAAGTCCTGCAGCAGAGACTTCGAACTTTCACTCTTTGTAAAGGATGGGGGGAAGGTCTAATCTTTGGCCCATATAAAGTGAGTGAACTAATGTGGTGCCTGCAGCCTTTATTCTGCTTAACCGCCTGGTGCAAAACAAGATCCCTTTTAGGGAATGAAGGAGATTGCCCCCAGATCACGTTAGGGACCTTTTAGTGCAGATACAAATGTGAGCCTTCCCACAGAGGAAGAATTTCCTAGTTCAGCAGCTTTTCACGGAGGGAGAAAGAATTGGGGGGAGTTTCTCCTCCTGACCAACGGGAAACATCTATGAAAAAGGCCAAATAAAGCAGCCAACGTTCTAATTTCATGCTTGCGTTAAGTAAGGAAAGGAAAGAAGTCAAATGACCGCCTGGTTGCTACACAAAGATTTGTCTGTAGTCCGCTGGAGGAAACGGCTAGAACATAATTAATTGGTTTGTGTAGTAGAGGAACAAGGAGAAGTAGTATTCCAAGAGTGGTGATGGAAACAGCAGTTTAACCCTGAGGAAGGAAGGAAGGAAGGAAGGAAGGAAGGAAAAGACCAAAAAGAGAAGAAAGCGAGGGAGGGAGGGAGGAACGGAGGGAGGGAGGAAGGAAGGAAGGAAGAAAAAGACCGTAAAGAGAAGAAAGGGAGAGAGGGAGGGAGGGAGGGAGGGGGGAGG